GACGGAGTTTCGCTCTTGTTACCCAGGCTGGAGTGCAATGGCGCGATCTCGGCTCACCGCAACCTCCGCCTCCTGGGTTCAGGCAATTCTCCTGCCTCAGCCTCCTGAGTAGCTGGGATTACAGGCACGCACCACCATGCCCAGCTAATTTTTTTTTGTATTTTTAGTAGAAACGGGGTTTCACCGTGTTGACCAGGATGGTCTCGGTCTCTTGACCTCGTGATCCACCCACCTCGGCCTCCCAAAGTGCTGGGATTACAGGCTTGAGCCACCGCGCCCGGCATGGTTGCCTGTTTTTATGGTTATTTCTTGATGGCAAGCTAAACAAGGGGTGGACTACTAATGTCTCCCCTTTTTAGACCGTATAGGGTAAGTTCCTGACGTTGCATGGCATTTGTAAACTGTTATGGCGCTGGTGAGAGTGTAGCAGTGAGGACTAACCAAGGGTCACTCTCTTCACCATCTTGGTTTTGGTGGGTTTTGGCCAGATCCTTTACTGCAAACGGTTTTATTCGCAAGGTCTTTGTGACCTGTGTTTTGTGCTGACCTCCTGTCTCACCCTGTGACTCTGAACGCCTTCACCATCTGGGAATGCAGCCCAGTAGATTTCAGCCGCATTTTGCCTAGCTCCTGTTTAAGATGGAGTTGCTCTGGTTCACACACCTCTGACACCAGTCCTCCCCAGTCCCATGTTACATGGAGGCCACCAGGGAGCTGGTGAAATGCTGATGCTCAGACATACGTCCTGTTGGTCTGGGGCCCTGTTGTCTCTGCAAGTATCTACATGTCAGGAAGCTGATGCCACTGGGAGGGTCCTTCAGAACCTCCAAAGATGTCATGCAATTCAGCTCCAGTGCTTGGGCCAAAAGAGACAGAGCCAGGTCTGGAAAGTTGGGGAGGGGAGTGTCATGCTGAGATGCCCAGCTCTGCTCTCTCCTCAGCTGGAGTGGGCCATGAAGCTCTGGTGGCCGCACAGCGAAGCCATGATTGCCTTCCTCATGGGTTACAGTGACAGCGGGGACCCTGAGCTGCTCCGCCTCTTCTACCAAGTGGCTGAGTACACCTTCTGCCAGGTGAGCACTGCCTCCTTGTCCCCTCTAGAGGCTGAATGGGGGAATGAGGGGAGTCTGGCCAGGCTGTGCTCTTGCCCTCTTGCTGGGCACAGTCGCTCAGCTGGTCTGAGAGTTCCTAGAGTCCCAGTGCTGTTTGTTCAGTTAATGACGCCCCTGCCCTCCTAGAGCTCGAATTTTCGTGGTGGGTGCGGGTGGGGGAGCAGACTTAGGGTTGGTGAGTGACAGCTGTGGGGATAATACCGCTGGAGAGGGTTGTGGGGGGCTCCTTCCTATGAGATGGCAGTGGGGAAGCACTGAGCAGGGGCCGAGCCAGTCAGCCTGGGAGTGAAGATAAAGGCAGAGTGGCCAAGGGACGGACTCCAGCTGCCTGGTCTGATTCCGTTGTTACTTTTGTCCTGGGACTTGGAGAGAGGGTGTTGTGGGGCAAGCCTGTAGGGTATACGGCAGAAGCTGAGACAGCAGAGGAAGCTGTAGCTGTCATCCCAGCCAGTGAGGGCTGGCCTAGGTGGGAGCTCGTGGGGACCGAGGGCTCACAGTCTGGTGGAACGGCAGTGGGATTCCTGAGTCTCTGGTGCAGAGGGAAAGATGTGGATGGGCCATGAGTGTTTTCAGCTCATAAGAATGTCGATGCTGCCAAGCACAGTGGCTCACACCTATAATCCTAGCACTTTGGGAGGCTGAGTCTGGAGGATTGCTTGAACCCAGGAGTTCAAAACTAGTCTGGGCAACATAGTGAGACCCCCATCTCTAAAAAATCTTTTTTAAAATTAGCTGGGTATCACGCACGCCTGTAGTCCCAGCTACTCAGGAGGATGAGGCAGGAGGACTGCTTAGTCCCAGGAGTTTGGGGCTACAGTGGGTTATGGTCACACCACTGCACTCCAGCCTGGGTTGGGCAACAGAGTAAAAGTCTGTCTCAAAAAAAAAAAAAAGAGTACAGATGCTGCTGAGATCTATGAGGCAAAAAGGGACATGGGGGCCCAGCAAAGGAGACAAGAATCAGTGGCGACATAGGAAGAAAACCAAGCCAGGGACCCCCTGAGGCCCAAGTGCTAGGAGCAGAGTGATAAGCTGTCCTGACTGCTGCCCAGAAGGCACCTCGAGCTGCTGAGCCCAGGACAGGGCACAGCACCCAGTGGTGAAGGCCTGGGTGGTGAATGAATGAATGAAGATGCGTCATGTGTTTCTAAAGCCATGACTCCGACTGCACTGGTAAACCCCAGTGCTGGGAGGACTATAGCAGGAGGTCTTGTTCTGGGGTCTGTGGGCTTTGAAACCCTGTGGGGGAAATCGCGTCTTTATTTGTACTAACCTCTAACTGAAACTAGCATTTGCTTCCACTATGAGTGGAGGCAATGAACCACATTGGTAACAGCAGTGCCTGGCTTTGTCACCAATAGAAGTCCCAGATGTGTTTATATTGCATTGCAGTTAGAGAGGCATCTGCCAGTGTCACATATGCTCATCACTACTTCCAAACCACGGGGGTTCTTAGACCTGCAGCTACATCTTCATATTTAATGCATTCATAAAGTATGTATTAGGGACCACCAATTTTGACTCTAAAATGAAATTGAAGGAATACATTTTAATGTGATAGAGATGACATTAAACAATTACAAAAGTTATAATCAACATGTAAATCGGCTGGGCATGGTGGCTCAGGCCTGTAATCTCAGCACTTTCGGAGGCTGAGGCAGGCGGATCACCTGAGGTTAGGAGTTTGAGACCAGCCTGGCCGACATGGTGAAACTCCATCTCTACTAAAAATGCAAAAAATGAGCTGGGCTTGGTGGTGGGCACCTGTAATCCCCAGTACTCCGGAGACTGAGGCAGGAGAATCACTCGAACCCACGAGGTGAAGGTTGCAGTGAGCTGGTATCATGCCACTGCACTCCAGCCTGGGTGAGAAGAGGGAAACTCCATCTCAAAAAAACAAAAACAAAAAAACAAAAGAAAAAACAGGTAAATCATTATGCACCAACCAACATAAGAGAATATAGAAGGCAAAAATCCAGACATTGAAGGAAATTCTTCTTTACCTTCCTGTGTCAGACCAAATAGTCAGAAAATAAGGACTTGAACAATGTAACTCAAAAGATAAAATGAATACAGATAGAACTAGTTTTTTCTTTTTCTTTTTAAAATTACTTTAATCTTGAGTTATGTGTGACTCAGAACTAGTTTTTTCTTTAATTTTTTTTTAGATAGGGTCTCTGTCACCCAGGCTGAGTGCAGTGGCACAATCACAGCTCACTGCAGCCTCAACCTCCTGGGCTCAAGCCATCCTCCCACCTCAGCCTCCCAGGTAGCTGGGACTAAAGCTGTGTGCTGGCACGCCCAGCTAATTCTTTAATTTTTTTTGTAGACATGGGGTCTCACTATGTTGCCCAGGCTGGGCTTAAACTCCTGGCCTCAAGTGATCCTCTCACCCCAGACTCCCAAAGTGCTGGGATTACAGGCATGAGACACTGTGCCCAGCCAAGGACTAGTTTTACCTCCCACAAAGAATACACCAACTGTTTACACCTACAAACAAGAACACCAATTCTTATGGGCCACAATTTAAAGAGACATTTTCATAGTGGACTTCAGTGTAATTGATTCCATGATCCTTTTGAGAAGGGGCCGAACTGACAAGCCTCCCTGAGACAGATGCCCTTTGGAACGCTCGTGAAGAGAGAAGGAAAGAGAGTGGAATGGGCACTGGGCAGGGGCAGAGGGAGGATGAGATGCATTTGGGAAAAATGGTGAGCCAGGATACGCGTGAGATCTCTGCTGGACATGCACAATCTCATCTACTGGAAGACAGGCCAGTGCAGGGAATGGGAGCTCCCAGGGAGTCACTTATGAAGAGTTTCATGACAGGTCATCGCCTCCATCCGAGTTCTTCGTTTCTTTAAATCAACGTAACCAGCAGTACAATCAGGACAGAACGTTTCTACATCCCAGGGCAAGGTTCTTTCATTCCACTGCAGTGTCTCGTCCTCTTGCCCAGCTGGTTATACAGTTGCAGCCTGCCTGCTTCGTCCACTCCTGCTTTCATCTTTGTGGAAGATGCGGTGTTGCGGTTAAGATCGTTGGTTCTGGAGCCACGTTACCTGGGGTCAACCTGGGCTCTGACCTTGGGTAGAGCTGCAGTGGCATCTGGGCGGGTCCTGCAGGCGCTAGCTGTCACTGTCTCTGTTATTCCAGTTTCGCGATCCCGAGTACGGGGAATGGTTTGGCTACCTGAACCGAGAGGGCAAGGTGGCCCTCACCATCAAGGGAGGGCCTTTCAAAGGTGAGTGGGAGACAGGGCGGGGACGCAGGGGTCGCGCATCTCGGCGGCTCCCGGCCCTCACCACCCGCCGGCCTCTCCTGCCTCCTCCCACAGGCTGCTTCCACGTGCCGCGGTGCCTAGCCATGTGCGAGGAAATGCTTGGTGCCCTGCTGAGCCGCCGGGCCCCCGCCCCCGCCCCCGCCCCCGCCCCCGCCCGCCGAGGCGCGGAATAAAGGCTGAGTCTGCTCCACCTGCAGCTGTGCGCGCGTCCGCGTCTGTGGGCTCGCGGGAGGAGGGCTGCCGCGCCGAGGGAGGGGCCGGCTCCAGCTCCGGGGCTGTGCCCGCCCCGCCCCGCCCCGCCCCCGGGCCCGCCCATCGCTGATCGGCTGCTTGCATTGGCCCGCCCCGCGCACTGGCCTGTCCCGGGCATTGGCCAGCGGCCGGGAGGACTGGCCCAGCTGCCGTGCACTTCCGGCCGGTGGCCGGCCCGGGGCGCACCGCCCCTTCCGCTGCCGCCCAGCTAACCCAGCCCCGGTCCCAGCCTCCGCCGTCCCGGCGTCGCTTCGGAGCGCGGCGGCAGCTGACTGCGCCTTCACGATCCGCTGGGACCCGCGAGCCCCGCCGCCGTTATGAACATCCGCAATGCGAGGGTGAGCGCCCGGGACGGGAGGCTGTCCGCGCCGCGTGGGCGCCGGGCCCGGTGGCTGCTGCGCATGCTCCCGAGGGCCCCGGCCGAGCCTGGCCCGGTGGCCCTGCGTGTGCCTGCGGCCTCCGGACCTCTGAGACTGGCCTAGCCCGCCGAAGAGGCAGGGTCGTGGGGCAGGGGCTGCGATTCCCTCCTGTTTACGTGATGTCGGGCCTCCGTTGGGTGGGCTCCGGGAACCTCCAGGCGCCCACGCCTGTCCCTGTGCTCCGGACGTTGAGCAAAGTCAGATCGTCACAGTGCCTGCCCAGCCCCGGGGGAGGGGGGGCCGAGCAGACGACGGGGAGCAGGCTTCTCACCCGTGGTCACAGCCGCCCTTGACTGAGCTCCTTCCACTGCCCTCCTTCCCTGCAGCCGGAGGACCTGATGAACATGCAGCACTGCAACCTCCTCTGCCTGCCCGAGAACTACCAGATGAAATACTACTTCTACCATGGCCTCTCCTGGCCCCAGGTGGGCAGCTTCTGAATTTGGGTGTGGGAAAAACCAGGCCGAGGAAAATCTGATCAGGCCATCTCGAAGGGAGTGGACAACTCTGTCAGCCCACAGGGCTTTATGGTCCATGACTTCCCGGGTGTTTTCAGCTCGCAGGCAGGGGCAAAAGAAAAGAAGGCGCCTGAAGGGAGCAGAGAATAAGGGCAGGATCCTCACATTGTGTTTTCTTTCCAGGCATGGGGAGGGCACAGTGTGGCTTGGGGCAGACCAGGTCACCCAGCCTGGAGGTGGTGAGCTGTCATACAGCTCGCCACTTGTCCAGCTTCTGTCCCTGTAAGGGCTCCTCCAGCTCCACCACGAAGTTTTCTCATTCCCCTTTCCTCTCTGTCACCAGCTCTCTTACATTGCTGAGGACGAGAATGGGAAGATTGTGGGGTATGTCCTGGCCAAAATGTGAGTCATCAAGGAGGAAGAGAGAAGCTACACGTGTCTGGTGGATGCTGCTGTGGGCTTTTAAAAAAATGAATAGGCTTTTTATTTTCAGTACAGTTGAAAGTTTTTAGAAAAGTTGAACAGAAAGGACGTGGAGTTCTCATCTAACCCCACAGCACCCCTCCCTGCCAGTTTCCTCTGTTAGTAGCCTGTTGGATTTGGGTGATCCATTTGTGACAAGTGACAAACGAATGTGATTTATTATTTGTTTATTTTTGAGACGGAGTCTCACTCTGTTGCCCTGTCGCCCAGACTGGAGTGCGGTGGCGCACGATCTCAGCTCACTGCAACATCTGTCTCCTGGGTTCAAGGGATTCTCCTGCCTCACCCTCTCTAGTAACTGGGATTACAGGCATGTGCTACCACACCCGGCTAATTTTTGTATTTTTAGTAGAGACGGTGTTTCACCATGTGGGCCAGGCTGGTCTCGAGCTCCTGACCTCAGGTGATCCACCCGCCTTGGCCTCCTAAAGTGCTGGGATTACAGGCGTGAGCCACTGCACCAGGCCGATATATTATGAACTAAACCAACAGTTTACATTACTGCACTTCTCTTTGTGTTGTAAGCCTTATGGTTTTGACCAAATGGCATGTGTCCACCTTGTATTATCACAGGATAGTTTCACTGGGTTCCACGCATTCATCCCTCCCTCTCCTTAACCCCTGGCAACCACTGATTTTTTACTGTCTGCATAGTTTTGCCTTTTCCAGGATGTTATGGAATTGGAATCATACCATATACAGCCTTTTCAGCCTGGCTGTTTTTCACTTAGTAATATGCATTTAAGCTTCTGCCTTGTCTTTGCATGGGTTGACGGCTCGTTTCTTTTTTTCTTTATCTTTTTTGAGACAGGGTCTTGCTCTGTTGCCCAAGCTGCAGTGCAGTGGCGTGATCATGGCTCACTTTAGCCTCAACCTCCCAGGCTCAAATGGTCCTGTCACGTCTGCCTCCCAAGCAGCCGAGATCACAGGCATGTGCCACCATACCCAGCTCATTTAAACTTTTTTTTTTTTTTTTTTGAGACGGAGGTTGCCGTTTGCTGCCCTCGCGCGATTGCACTGCCGCCTGGGTTCAGGCAATTCTCCTGCCTCAGCCTCCTGAGTAGCTGGGATTACAGGCACGCGCCACCATGCCCAGCTAATTTTTTGTATTTTTAGTAGAGACGGGGTTTCACCATGTTGACCAGGATGGTCTCGATCTCTTGACCTCGTGATCCACCTGCCTCGGCCTCCCAAAGTGCTGGGATTACAGGCTTGAGCCACCGCGCCCGGCCATCATTTAAACACTTTTTTTGTGAAGATGGTGTCTCACTATGTTTTCCAGGCTGGTCTTGAACTGCTGGGCTCAAGCGATCCTCTTGCCTTGGCCTGCCAAGTAGCTGGGACTCTAGGCGTATGCTACCACACCCAGCATGCATGGGGTTTTTAGGCAGCAGAGGGTGGCAGGATGGGCTGCGCCGATCCAGGAGGCTCCCAGCTCTCCCCCAGCTGGGGTCTTAAGTGGCTGTAGGGCCACTTAAGTTAGCCTAGAGTTTGCATGTCCACTCTACGTATGGCAGGGGGTGGGGGTGGAGGTGCCTTCACAGAGCTCCTTTGCAGCTTCTCCTTCCTCTCTCTCCAGGGAAGAGGACCCAGATGATGTGCCCCATGGACATATCACCTCATTGGTTTGTAGAGTCCACCCAGGCTCTGGTGGGGGTGGAAGTGGGGGTTAGTTGGGGCAGCCCTCAGGGTCCCAGCCCCTCATCCCCTCTCTGCTCTTCCACCAGGCTGTGAAGCGTTCCCACCGGCGCCTCGGTCTGGCACAGAAACTGATGGACCAGGCCTCTCGAGCCATGATAGAGAACTTCAATGCCAAATACGTCTCCCTGCATGTCAGGAAGAGGTGGAAGCTGGGCTGAGGGAAGGGGGATTGAGGGGAGAGATGCTGCCTTGACGGGAGTCCTGGGGGGCCTTGGCTTTTGGTGAAGATCCGGGAGGTGGGATTGGTGGGAAGGAGGGACCAGAGGGAGGGGCAGGACCTGGACGTGCTACCCCTGCCTGGCCAAATCCGTGCAGCTCAGCAGTGCCTTGTTCCCCTGCAGTAACCGGGCCGCCCTGCACCTCTATTCCAACACCCTCAACTTTCAGTAAGTAGATCTTGGTATTTGTAATAGGTTGGGGCTGGTCCCAGGTCTGGCCATCAGGGTAACTGAGACCAGCTGAGCTGCCTCCCAGGCAGGGGGTGGGCTAGCTATGGGGAGGAGGCTGTGGATCCCAGCGCTGCCAGGATGCCTCCACACTCACTTGGTGGCTGATGGTTGAAAAGCCAGCATCGGGACAGCACCTGCCTGCTGAAATGTGCTCGGTGTGTGTTGTGATGGAGGAGCTCTGGCCTATGCTGGCTGAGGCTGGTGAAGGGCACAGGGTTGTTTAGTCATGTTTGGGAATAGAGAGGTGTGGGTCTGTGGCATGAGCAGATGCTAAGGAGCAGGCCTCTGTGTGACCAAGCGCCTGGAAGCATCTAAGAGAGAGCAGAAGCAAGGAGAATGCATGTTCAGGAAGAAAGGGCCGGCGACCAGGTGGCCTAGTGGACGGGGCAGGTCTGCTGAGGACCAGGAGACCCCGTGTGCCCGGCCCAGGAGAGAGAACTTGGCAGTCATTGTGCCCAGTAGACAGTGGAAAAAAGTGCTTGCAAGTGAAGCTGGGGTGGGCTGCCTGTGGAGGGATGCTAACTGCACTCAGCACCTGTTTGACTGTTGGGAAGGGTGGTGGCCTCTGGGCTGGGTGCTGGCAGGAAGGATCTGTGACCCAAATGAGGATGTCTGGTGGGAACTGCTTTGTAGTGAAGTCAACAGTCCTCATATCTGAGGTCTAACAGGGCCAACCTTCCAGGGACATGGCCACCCGAGCCTGCACGCATACCTCCCCAGTGCAGGCCAGGCCGTGCTGCGTAGGCATGCCTGCCCTTGAAAGGGCTCACCGTCTTTCCTGCGTTCTCATAGCTGTGGTGAGGCAGCTCAGTAAGGGATAGGAAGCAGGGCAGAAAGGGAAGGGGAAGGCTGAATTCAGGGCTTCAGCTCACAAGAAACCACAGAAGGGGAATCCTTAGTAGCCAGGCCAAGGACACAGAACAGGGGCAGGACAGGGGTGGGGCGGGCCACTGTTACCTGGAGCCTTTGCTGGAGAGAGCAGAGGGCAGGCCGCACTGGAAGTGGGGCCACTGGAGGATTCTTTCAGGCTGGACTTGCTGTCTCAGGATGGAGCCTTCAGGGAGAAAACATGGCACCTTGCTTCAGTGGCCATGATGCCAGGAGCAGAGGAGTATGTGCCTCGGGTATGGGTCTTCCTCCTTGCTCTCTGCCCTCTGCCCCCAGGATCAGTGAAGTGGAGCCCAAATACTATGCAGATGGGGAGGATGCCTACGCCATGAAGCGGGATCTCACCCAGATGGCCGACGAGGTGAGAGCGCTGCAACGAAGCCAAGCAAGGCCAGTGGGATCGGCCCTGCGGGCGGTGGGGAGGTGGCAGCACTTGGGAGCCCTGGGACAGTGGCTGGAGGCAAGACCAACTTTGGGTGCCAGCTCTTGTGGCCACATTGCCAGGAGTCACGGCCTCAGTTTCCTAGGCTGGGTTTTAGAGGAGGCTGTCTGCCTAGCAGCAGCCTGGAGGGCGGTGGGAGAGGCAGAGGAAGGAGGCTTTTAGAAGGGAAGTGGGACAGCTGGGGACCAGTGGGTGGCCTGTCTGCTCAGAGGTAGTTCTGAGTCAGGGTTCTGCCCAGGTGGCAGGGCTGTTCAAGGGCAGCACTTGGTCGTAGGGGCCTCCATGGTAGTCAGTGAACCCAGGGAGCAGTGAGCAAGGCTCCAGCCAGGTGTCCCCACTCAGTCCCCCGTGTCTTGCCTAGCCCTGCTGCTTCTCATTATGCCCCTCCCCTCAGCCAGTGACAGGTCCAGGCTCCCCTTGTCTGGAAACTTAGGCCCTGTCTCTTTGCTCCTGCTTCTCTCTGGGCTCCTGGCGGCAGCTGAGGCGGCACCTGGAGCTGAAGGAGAAGGGCAGGCACGTGGTGCTGGGCGCCATCGAGAACAAGGTGGAGAGCAAAGGCAGTTCACCTCCGAGCTCAGTAGAGGCCTGTCGGGAGGAGAAGGGCCTGGCTGCCGAGGATAGTGGTGGGGACAGCAAGGACCTCAGCGAGGTCAGCGAGACCACAGAGAGCACAGATGTCAAAGACAGCTCAGAGGCCTCCGACTCGGCCTCCTAGAGCCTGCCCCATCCCTTCCTCACCCCACGAGCTTTCACAATAAATTTGCTCCGTGGCACTGGGGAACTTCGTGTGTGTGTGTGTGTGTGTGTGTGTGTGTGTGTGTGTGCGCGCGTGTGTGTGTGTGTGTGCACGTGCACATTTAGAAGGTGTGTTTCTCCAGCTCCTCTGTCTGGTGGGGATGTGAGCCTCACAGCCTTTTGACCCAGGGCATCCTGCCAGGCCCGAGTAGAAGGGAAGAGCTTTGTGAGAGCCTTGGGGGTGGGACTCCCCAGTCTCATGACCTTCAGCAGCTGTGGCCCCAGGGAAGGAGGCCCTGGACTTCTGGGAGAGACCCTGCCTTGGAGGCCTGCTTGGCCACGCTGAATGTGTTTTGTGCAAGCCTGGGCCTCGCAGGCTCAAAGGTCAACAGCAGGCTCCCATTCTTGGGAAAAGCCCTTTTCTCTCCTAATCACACTTGCTTTGGGCCACAGCAGCTCCGATGCACACCCGTGAACTTCAGATGTAGACATCCAACTGCTCATTGGGCCTATCTACAGCTGTCCTGTCTGAGTAATGACCCAGCCAGATGCCCAGTTGCTCAAGCCCCGTCAGTGGTCCCTGAGTCCTCCCTCTCCTGCCACCCTAATGGTCAGTGAGTCCAGGATACCTCTTGGGTCTGCTCCGTAAACCCAAGTTTACGTAGTTGAAAATACAAGTTCGTAGTTGAAAATAATTGATTTTTAGTAAAGTTCCCCCTGTTTCTCCTGTTGACATTTTGTATTATTAGTTGGTGTGTTTGTTTCTTTTTTTTTTTTTTTTTTTGAGACAGAGTTTCACTCATGTTACCCAGGCTGGAGTGCAATGGCACGATCTCGGCTCACCGCAACCTCCGCCTCCTGGGTTCAGGCAATTCTCCTGCCTCATCCTCCTGAGTAGCTGGGATTACAGGCATGCGCCACCATGTCCAGCTAATTTTTTGTATTTTTAGTAGAGACGGGGTTTCACCATGTTGACCAGGATGGTCTCGATCTCTTGACCTCGTGATCCACCCACCTCGGCCTCCCAAAGTGCTGGGATTACAGGCTTGAGCCACCGCGCCCGGCCTGGTGTGTTTGTTTCTGTTGATGAGCCAATACTGATATGTTATTGTAAACTGTAGCCCATGTTTCACATTAGGGTCCTTGTCTGTGTTGTACAGTTTCTATGGGGTTACACAAATGCATAAAGCTATGTATCCCTCATTACAATTTCATGCAGAATACAAAACTGGGTATGGTGGCTCACACCTGTAATCACAGCACTTTGGGAGGCTGAGGTGGGCGGATCACTTGAGCTCAGGAGTTGACCAGCCTGGGCAGCATAGTGAAACCCCATCTCCACTAAAGATAGAAAACTTAGCGAGGCGTGGTGGTGCACACCTGTAATCCCGGCTACTCGGGAGGCTGAGGCAGGAGGATCGCTTAAGCCTGGGAGGTGGAGGTTGCTGTGATTCCAGATCATGCTACCACACTCCAGGGACAGAGAAAAAAAAATACGTAATACATATATATCAAAATCCTGTTTTTCATGGAGTCACCCTGACCATAACGCTCGCTCCTGTGTCTTTACTCCCTCCTATTCCCTCCGGCTGCAAAGTCATCACTTGCTGTCCCTAGTCCCTGGGCGGGCCCTGTATTCCTGAGCCGTCTCTATACACAACGTCTCTGCCACTGCAGGTGGCACACTGCTGCTCTGCCAGGTTGAAAATTCGCCATACAGGCCTGGAGCTCGGTTCTCGTTGGCTGGCGTGTCGCACGTGACCAGCAGGCAGCCTGCCGCGGTGGAAGCCGAGCCCAGAGCTCGGCAGGGCGGGGCCGGGACCGGAAAGTCGCGCCTCCGCACGCCCACAGCTCTCCAGTTCCCGGCTCGGGCGAGGCTGTGTTCTGATTGGCTCAAGACGTGGGCTTCCCTTTGTATGGGCCAGAGGCGGCGCCCTGTCCCGCCCCGTGCCTGGCGTCAGTGTCTTCCGGTTCGCAAGCTGGCGGCAAGCTTCGTTCCCAGGCTCTGATTGGTTCGGCGGCGCCGAGCTCTGCGCCAGGGGGTGGGGGAAGGGCGGGCATGCGCACTGCGTCTGCCGCGCACCGGCGCCCGTGGAAGGAAGCTGGGCTAGGCTCCCACGGCGCCCTCCTTCCTCTCCTGCTCGGCCCGCCCTGTGCCCTCTGTCCCTAGCGGGCCCGATGCCTGTCCGCCGCTCCCTCTGTCCCCACGCGGGCAGGTCCGCGCTTTCTGCGGGCTTCCTGGCTTTAGGGTGCCTTGAAGGAACAGCGAAGCTAAGGATAGAGCGAGCAGCAGGTGACAGTTGAGTTCAGGGCGTTAAATGCCACACAAGTGCCCTGAAAGCCAGGGCCCAACACTCAGGTTCTAAAGCACGGGCTGAATGGGGCATCCTAGGAATAGCTCTGGAGTGTGAAAAGGAGTGAAGAGAGCGTTTGAGGCACGGACTGAGCCCTTTTCTGCTTCCCTGAGCCCTGTGCCTGTCTCTGCTGGGTGGAGGGACCTTTGGGGACCAGTCGGGGCTCGGATGGAGGAGCAGGGTGTGTTGGGGTCAGCTAATGAGGGGCTGGGATCCCTGATTCCCCTTGGCCTGAGGCACTGGTGGGACGTGTGAGTCTCCCGAGCGGGAGCAGGCTGGGGTGTGGGTGCGGCTGTGCGCGCCGTGGGCAGGGGCGCAGACTCGCTGGGCTTGCTGGAGTACTCGAACCTCAGCATTTCCGAGACCAGCTGCTGGAAGTCCAGGTCCTGGGCCTGCCTGGGTCTGGCTAGCTCCCAGGCCTCAAAGCCTCAGGTCCTGCAGACCCACACAACAACGTCTTCGAGAAGGGCCTGGGTACTGGGAGAAGGGGGCGGGGAGCTAAGGGAGTGTTTTTTCCTTCTGGGCAAGAGAATTGCTCATAGTTGAAAGGCAGGAAGTACCTGCACAGCCTCCCCTCCTCCCCAGGTCTGCAGGTCAAGGCCATGTGTGCCCGCATTTGCACAGAGCCTGACTCTGACATCCGTGCACATACACGCCTAGGACCCCTGTACTGGTGCCCGCAGGCCCGCTTTCGGGACACACTCCTGGTGCCCAAGTGCTTTGTCCCTCTCCCCAAGTCTACATGCCAGGGATTTCCCTCCCAGCAAATTGAAGCCAGTTGTCTGCTTGGCATGTCAACAACGTCCTGCGTCCTGCCTTCCCGATTTCCCAGAGAAAAGCTGTGGTAGTGGGTGGAGGAAAAGCCCCACCACCCCTGGATGAGGGAGGCCCCAAACTTGCCCCCAGGGTAGCTAAGACCTTACTCTGAGGGGGCTGCCCCCCTCAGGCCTATGATGGGCAGGTGCAGCTGCAGGGGAAGGGAGGCAGAGCAGTCTCTTCCGGCAGCAGGAAGTGGTAACCGCCTATGTGGAAATTGTGGGGCTGAGCAAAAGGGGAACCAGAGCTGAACCCTGCTCTCCCACCAAGGGGTCCTGGAGGGAACAGCAGCCAGCTGCTGAGGTTCTGCTGTCTGGCGATGACTTTCCTTCTCCTCCCCTCCGAACTTTCCACCCCAGTTCTCAAGGCTCCCTGGGAAGGGACGACCCCATCTGATGTCTGGGGGAAGCAGCAACCCAGGGGCAGTCCAGGGCCTGGAGCAGCAGTGGTGTTCATGTACACGGGCCCTGTGGGCCAGCGGCCCCGCTGCGAACCGTGCAGTCTGGCAGTGGTGACCACGGACAGCCGTCTGGAGGTGGTGGCAGGATTGCAGCCAGGGATACCCGCTTACCTCGGGCTCTCACACCCGCCCCAGCTGCTTGGCAGTGGGGCTTTCGGCACAAGGCAGCCTAGGTGCAGGCCCAGTGGGAGGGGACGACAAGGCCAGGGCACAGCGGGGCTGCAAGGGGCGCCCTGCCCCCAGGAGCCCCTCGCGGGCAGTGCCAGGCCTGGGCCGCCCCGCCCCACCGGGAGCCGCGCTGGGGGCGGGGCTGGGCGGAGCCCGAGCAGGGTGCTGGCCGCAGCGCCCCCAAGTCCCGGCGCCGGGCCTGCTCGCGGCCGCGTGGGAGCAGTGGGGCTCGACGGCGCGGCCGCTAGGCCGCCATGGCCGCTCACGGGAAGCTGCGGCGGGAGCGGGGGCTGCAGGCTGAGTATGAGACGCAAGTCAAAGGTGAGAGGGCGCCGGGCGCTCCCGGCCCGTTTCCTGCGGAGACCCCCAAGGTCGTGAGGGCGCTCCAAGCGTCCCCGCACTGACCCAGGGCCCGATGCTCTCCTCAGCGACATCTGGAGGGGGTGGAGGAGGGAGCCTGAGCCCCTTGCGGGCTTCCGCACGCACGTTTGGCCTCAACCGCCTGCCATCTTCCCTCTCTCCTTTCCTCTCTTCCTTCGTTTGGTCTCTGTTCTCCTTGGGTCTCTGTTCCTCACCCAAGGCCCAGTGGAGACACTGGTGGCCGCTGGTAAAGGGGAGCCGGATGCACCAATGTGCCCCCAGGAGGCAGTGTTCTAGCTACAGTGAAGTCTACCACCTTGATTTGGCTGGGGAGTGGGTTAGGGAGTCTGGGTGAGTGGATTGGTGGAGATCACCTGGTCCTAACCCTACTGCAGTCCCTGGAGTCCCAGCACCTTTTGCCTCCCTTTGGCACTGAGGGGGATCAGAGGCGAGGGCCACTGTCTCTGGGTCAAGCTGGCGCAGTGAGTCTTGGTTGAGAGATTCAGCAGGGCTTGCTTCTCAGCCTTCTGAAATTGAACCTCTTCGGGTTCTGATAAACACCCATGTGCAAATCACATTCAAATCAGCTTTGCAAATTCTTAGCCAATTGCTTGTGCCCATCTTATTCAGGGCATGGTAACTCTTGCAAAGGAAAAAGGCAACATCTCAGCGCCAGCAGCTCCTCCATATCACTCTCAATCACTCCATTTTGCCAGTTACGGAAACAAGCTCAGAGAGGTGCAGTGACTCGCCCATAGTCACACAGCACTACAAATTCTAGGACATACAATGCAATGACCCTTGAAGTGCCTTTTAACCCAGAGATGTAGGTTCCAACCTCATTATTCAGTGCAAGCAATTTATACCAAAATATGCCCCAGTCCTCCTCCTTTGGAAGACTCAACCTGTGTCCAGAGCCAGCTTGAGGTAACTACACAGGGTGAGCCAGCTTTCCGAGCCTCACCATCATCTTCTCAGATGGAGGTAATGATCTCCATCCTGCTTCCCCAAAATGCCAGGAAACTGAAAGACTTGGAAAACTTCAATCAGCAAATATGGGTCAGTGATTTCCCACTGAAAAGTTGGGGTTTCGAGCAGGACTGTCTAAGGGTTCCTTGCTTCCTCTGGATCTGCGTCCCAGTCCCTGGAAAAACATCCTACCATGCTACAAAATGGGGGTCACTGTCTTGACACCCTAAATTCTCAAAGGTCAGCATAGCCGTGGTTTTGGAGACCATCATCTCTGCTGTTTTGCTTGTCAGCAGAAGTGAGACTGAATGCCTTGCTCACAGGAAGTGCTGGTGGAGCCTGGCCCTGCTCTGTAATTCAGGCAGACATGGATTCCAGCTCGCCTTTGGCCAGATGTTTCCTATACATCTGTGCTATCCCAGCCCCTCCAGTCCCTCCAGCCCCTCTAGCCCTGGCTTTTTACCCAGAGTAAAAACGATTCAGTGAGGACTCTCCTGATTGCAGATGGCGTCGGTGCCCCACCCTCACATTGGCTCACGGGTCTAGTGGCGGAGACATAGACTTTCCATTATGATAATAAGCACTGCAAAAGGAAAGTGCAGGGTGCCAAGAAGGGGTCAGAAGACGGCCAGCCCTAGTTTAGGGGGAGGTCAGGACAGGCCATGCTGACGAGTTTGTCTGAACTGAGATCTGAAAGCTCTGCCGGGAAAGCCACCAATGCAATCGACTTGCAATTCACGTTTCCTGCTCAACACCAGTGTGCGTGCCCGGATCTGGACCGGGACATGACTTCCAGTCAGTGTTTGCTGCCGGCAGTGATGAAGAAAGGCAGCGGTTCTCTCTGCTGGTTCTTTCTGCACTGTTCAGTTATCATAAGTCCCCAGGGATTGTATTCCTCTGGGGGAAGAAGGGCAGGGCAGGCACACTGGTGTTGAGCAGGAAACGTGAATTGCA